TAGACCCACAGCAGAATATAACGACTTCACGCAAAAGCCAAAATACTTCTTGTATTGCTCACTTTGTGACAAACAGGATTGCTCAGGGTAATCCAGATGTTGCAAAAGGAAGGTGCTAGCAGCAAGAAAACGAAGTTGATGGCTAAACCCCTTCGTATTGCCCTGTTGGTACCACATGGTACCACTTTGTAAAAGCAATCAGTGGCGAAGTTTTAATGGTTTTTCCTAGTACGGCTGCTTAAAAGATGCATTAAACACGGTTTAACTGAATAGCATGCTAACAGGCACTTCTGTATCTAATATATTATCAAAAAAAAAAAAAAAAAAACAGACGACTGGTAGCCACATTGATCTAATTCGAGTTGCGTTTAAAAACAAAAGCCAGTTACGAATAAAACGAACTGCCAGCATTTTACGTTGACGAAATACAATTATTCAAAACCTGAGTTCGTTCATCGAAAACATTTCTACTCCTTTTCTTTTTTCTTATTCCTTTCTGTTGCGCGTACTCTTCCCATTTCGTGAGCTGTCGCTTCTCTGGCAATGGTTTTTCCCTGGGAAGTCGCAAAATCGGCACTGGTAACTGGAAGAAACGAGTTACAACAAGCTGATGCGCACAGCAAATTTTGCATAATTTTTGTATAAATTCAAATAAAAAGTAAAAATCTGAATGGTGATTACGTTGCATGTGACCATCTCAATACCTCCTAGGGGTTGATGACAGAGTCAGAAAAGCAGAGGAGGGATAAGGAGTGGAAAAAATGGTTTCTTCGCCCTGCCTTTCATGATGCCCTCATAAAGGTTAAAAAAGGAAATATCAGGAGAAAAAAGAAACAAGGAAGAAGAGGAAAAGGATATTAAAATAAGTAAAGGGTATAAAGAAATATTTGTTATAGGTAAGAAATGTTTCGATCTCTTTGCTTGTTATACTGCAGTGTGCTTCACATGTATTGCTGCATATCATCAAGCGAAGATGATGACAGCTCTGGATGATATGCAAATATCTAGAAAACTGCAATACTTGGAAGAGCCGTTAATTCGTAAACTAATTCTCCATCTACACAACTGATAATTTTTCTAGATGTTATAATAATTTTACTAATTTTCTAATTCTCATTTTCTACCCCTTCTTTTTTGATTCTTCTTATTTTATCCATTGTTAATATACCTTTCTATTAATCATGCTACAACTAAGTATTCAGTCTTCTGGTGATCCAGGCCTTGGTTTCGCCTTTTTCTGCGGAACAGCGGGGCAATGCTGACATAATCAAGCCTGCCAGAAGAAGACAAAGTAACAATGTAAACAGACTCTCAGTAATACCAAGATCGTTTGGGCCATTAGTGTAGCCATTCCCTGTTAGTGATTTTACTGGGATGTTCCCGCACACACTGCGCGCAGCTATGCTAAACCTACGATCCTAAGCTGCATATCTGGTAGCTACCGCCTATTCGATGTATGTGCGCTATCTCTTGTGGGTCGTCCGAGTGGTCGTTTACATAACTGCACTACATGGGCATTTCAGGTGCTGTATATTTTTATGCGAAAAAAGTGATGCATCATATGAATTTTAACTTACTTTTCCCTGCAACACTTAATGGCAGAAAAATCACTGCTTTTTCAGAAAATCTGCGCATTTTCCAAGAGTTCCTGCGCAACAGAGTTAATACTTTTCCAAATAACCTAGAATAAGTAGTATATGGACAAACTTTAGCACAAATCGCTTCATCGACGCGAATGCGCTCCAACTCCCATATTTTATTGAACAAAAACTGGGCATTTTCTCGTACTCTCGCCGACAGCTCTTCCTCAATGGGCCCACTGAAAAGGCAACAAATACAAGAGGATTTACGCAAAATATTCCCTCTAGTTCAGGTGATACTCAAAACTGTGCTTTCTTTCTATTTGTCTAACCTAAATGTTTTTTCCTCCATGCTATTCCAGCGCAAAATCTGATGTCTTTCCGAACCATACATTCGATTTCAAAGCAAATTTTGCATTTTTGATTTGATTTTAGCACTCTTTGATAAAATTTTGCTCCAGATTAGCTAAATTTAGCACCTCATGGTCCACTTCCTCGCCCCTATCCCCAAACAGATAACTATAGCTAAATCTAACTGAATCAAAATGGTGTTTCCCTCTTCCTTCGTGCATAACAAATGAGTGAATCGAATGGAAAAATTTCAAAAAGTAAACTGAAAATTATATAAAACTAAGCCAACTGAAACTTCAAACTCAAGCGTACGATAACCTTCAACTAACAGTTGCTCTAAGTATCCCTGCAAGAGGCAGACGGTTATGCTACACAAAATTACATCCAACCCGCTGTCCCATCCTACACTAACAGCCAATCTATATTTCAAAAATTCGCAGCGACTTAACTATCGAAACCGTAGGGTTGGGCGAAAAGCCTTGTAGGCCACAAAATCTTACTGAAAATTCGAAAAAATGCATAAAATCAAAAATAAAGGCTTCAAATTCTGGCTTTTCTACGAATCACCACTTGAACATAAGCAGATACACACATACATAAATATACCTACGTACACACGCATACAAATACACACACGAACATGCACAAATACACACATATGCACGCAGGTACAAACATATATACATACATACATACATACATACATACATACATACATACATACATACATACATACATACATACCGTACATACATACATACATACATACATACATACATACATACATACATACATACATACATACAATAATAAATACATACATACATACACACATATGTACATACATACACACATAAATATACACATGAATCTACCTTCACAATCTATGCATTTTGTAAAGTGATAATGCAGAAAATACTACTCACCCATTCTTCGCCTTGAATGTTACTGGATCGTTATCGATGATGAGCAAATTCCCCGCATCCACGTACGGTTCGACAACCTTATTCACCTCCGTTGGCAAATAAACAAATCCATTTCCCGCCATACTGAAAACTCACTGTATACAAAACTCAGCCTTAATAATACCCAACCTAAACCAAACGCAATCGACAGGAACCAATCGCTACTTAAATTCTAATTCATATGAAAGATATAAAAAATGAGTGAAACAAAAAAATTTGCAAAGACACTTCAGCGATCTGAGATGTTTTATTTTGTGAAAGCTTTGGCCAGCAAACAGCGCGTGGAGACCACGGTAAAACACGTTAAAATCTTGAAACTTTTTTCAAACAACAAAAGTACGACCACAAACAACTACATAAATATGAAGGGTGAGAACAAAAAAGCTTATGTTACAATCATGAAACTCTTTACATAGAAAAAACAAAGCCACGAATAGCTATACTAATCAGAACAAACAGCTTGAGTAATGGCTTAGAAGAGTGTTTTAGAAAACAGCATCAAACTGAAATTAACTGCAAAACCGGAAGTGTTTCGGTCCTTGAAGCCGTATACATTCCTGTTGAGCATCACAAGTGGATCTCATCAATACGACGGTTGTGGTCTCAATTTATTTTCAATGAGATATTGCTAAATGTCTAAGTAACGTATTTTTGTAATAAAAAGTAAAAAAAAAAGTAGAATTAAATGTAGTGAGGGAAAATACAAAAAGTTAGGGGAAAAAATATTTTGAGAAACGTATGATGGAACAAAAAGGGGCCAAGGGATAAACAGTTAGTAAAGAAAAATAATTACTAAGAAAACATGAAAATAAAATATTGGAAAAAGAAAAACTATGCTAAGACAAACTATAGTGCCCATCCAAACCATTTTTGTCACATTTTTATGCCAGTCTTAACCAAAACTAATTAAAGCGCACAGTATAAGATATGAATACTTTACTTCCGATGTCAGAATGATATTGAAAATGATTTGGCTGGGCACTCGGCCTTTTTTATAGAATATGAAATCAAACATATTTGTCAACTTACGTAAATTTATGTAAAGGAGTACTTTGCCCGTAATTTTCAAAAATAAAAATTCGCAGTCAACTCCGCAGCTCTTTCATAAAACATATTCAAACACAGCCTAGTCCTAACCTCATTTCTAACTCCCAATCTCTGTCTAAAATTTAACCGGCAGCCAGTATTGCCAATATATGCAAAATTTAGTAGTATATATAAGAAAAAAGCAACAAAACGAGAAAAAAAAAACAACTTCGACAGCAAAAAGATAATTTGATAAAGAGTTAAACAAAAAAAACTTATGCTAGCGAAAAGGTAAAGTACATAAAAAGAAAATTATGAATTTGCTTAAAAACCGACAATCGCCAAAAAACCAAAAACAATATTATGATAAAAGATGAACGAATCAATTAAGCTATACACTCAGTCTGCATATCTCAACTTGCTATATATACATACGTGAACATGCGCGGGGTTAAAAAAAACAGTTGGGCCCAGAATTCCACACGAACTTAAACTGAAAATATATAAAAAAACTCAATTTTTGTATAAAACATGCCAAATGTACAATATAAAGAACATGGCTGGGCAATCAATATCAGCTAAAAGTCCTAAAAAGCTTTTAAAGTTCTTATCGCTCTGATTGATGGACTAGTGATCCTAATCCACTAATCAGACTTAGTTCGATAATCAAACAGGCAAAAAATAAACCAAGACCCAGTGCCAAGTATTTATAGGCAGATCCAGGGCGATCTCCTGAGGCATGGAGCGGGAGACGAAATTTTTTATCTCGCTCTTCTCCCTTCGTCACTGCAACTCCTCCCTCCCCTTCCCCCCCCCCCCCCCCCCCCCCCCCCCCCCCCC